GCTAGTGAGATAAATGGCATAAGCAGACAGACTTTCCTCGTAGATCACAGACAGACCAATAAAAATGCTTGTGAACAACTTGATACAACCTTTTGCTAGGTCTGGGGACAGCTGAAAATGTCCTCCTCTGGCCTGCTGTTTGATAATAGTATCCTAAAGAAATACATGGAAAATCCAAACCATTAAGTTCAATGATCCCATGTCCTGTATTTGCAGCTTCCAGTCAAAGAAAGAGATGTTAAAAGTGTTGACAAACATTGGTCGATTGGCTCCATGTTCTAGGACTTTCAAAGGAGCTTCTATCACATGATACCTAGGGACATTTCCTACTTCTCAACCTCATAAGTGAAATCTTACTAAACTGTATTATGTTTCATTTTACATTGAAGGCCCAGTTTGTCAAATTTGATCTTAGACACCATTGGGTCCAAATATGGGTTGAGTTTAGTGAGCAGGAAGGAAGTTCAGAGTGCAGACTGGGGAATGAATGCAGGGCAAGGAACAGTCAATGGAACTCAGGAAATACAATTTTTGGATATCTATGCCAGGAATTTTATTCTTTGGGTTTCATACTTATTTAAAGAAAATATATCAACAAATGATTCTTTGTAGAATGTCACTATTAAGTGATAGTATGAAAGGAGGTTGTAGTTTTAAGTTAGGTTGAATTTTAAGTTTGTCTTCTTAAAAACTATCACTTATTATTTCATAGGTATGTGAGTAGGACTTGAGGTGAACGTCTATGCACAGGATCTTAGAAAACCATGTCAAGGCATTGTTAAGTTGGTCTCTCTTCTGGAAGCTCTGAGGAAGTATTTGTCTTTAAGCTCATTCCCGTTGTAGGCTTCACTTTTTTGCAACTATAGATTCTCATTTCCTGGCTACTTGTCAATCATGGGGTACTAAACTGCTATTCTTGGAGGCAACCCACATTCCTTTTTAAAGGGTCTCCTCCATTTTGAAAACCTCAAAAGTACATCAAGTCCTTCTTACATTTGGATTCTTTCCAACTCCCTCTTATGCTGGTCTCTGGAGGAAAAAACTAGTTTGGAGGGCTGATGTGTTAAGATTAGACCCACTAGGCTTATGTCCCTTTAGGCTTATGAGGTAACATAATCCCAGGAGTACTATGTTACTATAGTCGTGGGTTCCACTAATACTCAAGGAGATGTAGACCATACAAAAATGATGTGTGAGGCTACTGGAGGCCACACAAACCGTGAAAGAATGATGAGCAGTAGAGGCTGTAGGCTGAAGTTTCTGTCTTCTCAGCAACTCCCAAACAAACACACTGAGGCTTATATTAATTATATATGCTCAACCAATAGCTCAGGCTTATTACTAACTAGCTCTTACAACTTAAATTAACCCATGTATTGCCACATGGCTCATGGTTTTACCTGTCCTCCATCATGTCTTACTTTCTCTGTGTCTCCTGGCAACTTCCACTGACTCTGCCCTTCTTTTTCAGAGAATTCTCTTAGTCTTGTTTTCTTTTCCAATCTCCTCTGCCCTGCTATAGGGCAGTAGGTTCTTTATTAACCAATAAGAGTAATACATGTTTACAGTGTGCAAAGATTGCTCCACAGCAGGAGGCCATGAACCATGCAAGAATGATATGCAGTAGAGGCTACAGGCAATGCAAGAATGATGAACACTGGTGATCATATCTATACTCCTCCTACTTCTAATCTTTTTACCCAAATAAATATTTTCCCTTAAAATCATATGACCTGTCCAGATCTTGCATAGTAAATAAGGAAACTTGGGAGAATGGGAGTCCACCTCTCTTTTTCTCAGGCTTCCAGAAAAATGGTGACATTTAGACATTTGGTACATACTAAAATTAGCCCACAATCATTCAAAACCAGAAATGTGTTCTTCTCAGAGAAACCAGCAAAGAAAAGCTACCTCAGTACTACAAAAACACTGGCCTAGGCTTTAAGACACTGAAGATTGTCATCAAGGGCACCAGCATAGGAAAGAAATGCCCCTTCATTGGTAACATCTCCATCCAAGATTGGCTCCTATTTGATGTCATGATCAAGATGAAGATGCAGAGGACCATTGTCATCTGCTAGGACCATCTCTATCACATCTGAAAGTACAATCTCTTTGAGAAGTACCACAAGAACCTGCATGTGTACCTGTCACCCTGTTTTATGGACATACAGATCAGTAACATTTCACTATGGGAGAGTAAATGCCTCTGAGCTAGACTTTGTGCTTCAATGTGTTCAAGGTCACCAAGGCTGTTGGCATCAAGAAGTAGCTTCAGAAATTCTGAGAGGAATCTGGCCAACTCCCTAGAACAAATACAGTTATTTTCCAACTTAAAACAAACAAAACTAAACTAAAAATAAAACCTTAGGACATGACAGTTTATGTCTGTATACAATAGATGTGTACTTTGAAGAGTTTACACTGAAAGAAAATGTAATCTGCTGGGCAGTGGTGACACACATGTTTAATCCCAACATCGGGAGGCAGAAACAGTTGGATCTTTGTGAGTTCAAGGGTAGCCTGGTTTATAGAATGAGTTTCACAGCAGATTCCAAAGCTACACAGAAAAACCCTGTCTCAAAAGACCAAAAAAGTAACCCAATTTAAATTTTAATTTAACAAGAACGGCCTGTATTTATGGACTATAAATGGCTTCTTGGTGTCTTAGTTTCTGTTCATTAACTGTGAAGAGACCATGATCAACCAAGGCAATTCTTATGTAAAAAAGCATTTATTTGGAAGCTCACATAGTTTTATAAGGTGAGTCCATGATCTTCATGGTAGGAAGCAGGTAGCCATAGTGCTGGAGCGGTAGTTGGGAGCTTTGTGTCCTGATCCACAGATAACAGGAAGAGATAGATAGATTAGACAGATAGACAGACAGACAGACAGACAGACAGACAGACAGACAGGTAGGTAGAATGAGCTGGCATGAGCTTTTGAAACCTCCAAGCCCATTCCCAGTGACACACTTTCTTCAACAAGACTACATCTAATAATCCTTCCCAAACAGCTCACCAACTGGGGACTAAGCATTCAAATATATGAACCTATGGGAACCATTCTCATTCATACCACTTGATATTTTTTTGGACAGATTTATTTTCTAACTTTTTTTTCTCTACACAAGCATGCCTCAGGGCTCTAAGTTGTAGTTAGACTTGCTACAATATCTTAATTTTTAGTATTTCCTAACTATTCCTATACTATTAACTCGTATCATGGGCATGTCATTCATAGTTACATATAATAAATGTTGTATTTTTATTTAAATTTTTCCCCATAGCTTTATGTATGCATAATCAGTAAATCAAAATTACATATATTTATTGCTAACATGGAGGGACCTAGAGGTCCTTACTTCTCCCTGAGGATGTATAAGCAATTAATGATTACTGGGGGAGGAAAAGATATTTACTTCAGCATTGAAGGCATTGGTAAATTACTTGTGCTTCTGTAAAATACCTGCAAACCTATGTTTTTGTAAAAACCTTAATGAAACTCATTGGTTTATGAAAAATAGACAGGAAAGCAGAAGGAGGACTGTTTGGGCAGAGGATGGAAGTGAGTAAGCAATAAGAGAGGGTAATGAATACGATCAAAGTACAATATACACATGTACAAAAATGTCATAATGAAAGCCATTGTTATGCACAATTTCTATATGACAATAAAATTATATATATATATTCAAGGCACACAGCATAATTTGATATATCTATACATTGTATAATGATAACCACAATCAATTAATAAGTACATTGATTACTAGAAAAATTGGATATATATACTTTATTGAGTTGGAAAAGCATGTTGTCCATTAGATCTTCAGCACTGATTCAACTTATAACTTTGACCAATATTTTTCTAATTCTGAGATCTAGGCAGTCACTGTTCTACTTTCTACTTCTGTGAGTTTTGAGGTTTTTAGATTTCACATATAAGTGAGATCTTGAGTTGTTTGATTATTTCTTAATTAACTTAGGTACTGTCTTCGAGATTCATCCATGTTGCCCTAAATTGTGAAAATTTCTTCACTTTTGGATAAATAATATTTTGTTGTAAAAACATAATATTTTCGTCATAATGTATGTATTGATGGATACTTAGATTGTTCCCATATGATTAAAATGAGTAATGCTTCAATAAGCATGTGGTCTCTTTAAAAGGGGACTTCATATCCTTTGAAGAAAAATCCAGAAGTAGAATGGTTGGATCACATAGTACTTTTAACTTAGATTTTTATTTTCAAGAAAATGTGTAGTGCTTTCCATAAACTAACACTTCCATCAGCAATGTATCATTTTATTTCTCCACACTCTTACCAACATGTGCTGTGTCTGTTTTTCGTAACCCCAATAATAGGTAAGAGGTGACCTACTGCCTGGTTTTAATTTACAGTTTTCCATTTATCAGTGACATGAGACAATTTTTTCATATACCTATTGAACATTTTTAAGTCTTCTTTGGAACAGCATCATGCAGTTCTCAATTTGGGTTATTTATATATTGCTATTGAGTTGTATTGATTTCCTTATGTATTTCAGACGTAAACATTATATCATATATATAATTTATAAGCATTTATCCTTTTTAAAGTTGCTTTTTCCATCACATAGTTCTTGTTTTCTTGTTAAAGATTAGTTGATCATATGGTTTATTTCTAGATTCTCTAGCTTGTCTCACTGGCCTATGTGGTACTTTTAACCTTGATACTATGCCTTTATGAGTACCATGGCTTTATTATATGGTTTGAAATCAGGAGATGTGATGCCTTCATTCTTGGAAATGAAGATCATTTTATCTCTTTGGAGATTTTTGTTTATTGTGGGTTTGATGTGCAGAAGCCTTTTGTGTGATATAGCCCTTCTCACTGAGTATTTCCTTTGGTTGTCTTCTAATGCTGTCTCATCCAGAAATTCATCACCAAGATCAAGGCCAAGAAGACTTCCATCTATGCTTTCTGCTAGAAGTTTTTTTTTTTTTCTCAGAATAGGAAAATTTATTACTGTGCTTCCACTGTCAAAATTTAGGATCTTGGTCTTTCCTTCTTGCCTTTGTACAGGGCCAAAAGGAACACACTGGCTACTTTAACAACCTTAAAGCGGACTCCAGGAATATCACCTACAGCATGACCCTTTCGACCAAATCCAGCAACCAGAACTTCATCGTTTTCCTCAATGAAGTTCAAGCAACCATCATTGGGCACGAAAGCTGTGATCTTCTTGCCGTTCTTTATGAGCTGCACCCTGACACACTTCCTGATAGCAGAATTTGGCTGTTTGTCTTCAACTCCTACTTTTTCTAGCATGATTCCCTTGGCATGAGAGGCACCTCCAAAAGGTTTGGCCTTCAGGGCTGTGCCCAAGTGGGCTTTCTTGTACTGTTTATCATGCCACTTCTGGTCCCGTCGGTGGCTGCGGAGCTTCCTGGCAGTACAGAGACCACGACACTTGCCCATCTTGCCGACGCCACGGGCTCCAGAGAAAGAGAGAGCCGATGCAGGAAGGACCCACAAGGCACTGCTAGAAGTTTTTTTTTTTTTTAAAGATTTATTTAGTTATTATGTGTTAGTTATTAGTGTTCTGTCTGCATGCCTGAAGAGGGCACCAGATCTTATTACAAAGGGTTGTGAGCCATCATATGGTTGCTGGGAATTGAACTCAGGACCTCTGGAAGAGTAGCCAGTGTTCTTAATCACTGAGCTATCTCTCCAGCTCCTCTTCCAGACGTTTTATTGTTTAAGATTTTATATTCATGTTTTCAACTCATTTCAAAATGATTTTTGTATACTGTATAAGATGGGTCCAGTTTTTTCCCTTGCTTATAAACATGTAATTTCCAAATACTGTTTATTAAAAATTATCTCTCCCCTAAATATTACACCAAAACTAATTGTTAGAACTAATAAATTAATTTAGTAAAGTTGGAAAATATAAAATCAACACACTAAAACTAACTGCATTTCTATATACTAACAAAAAAAAGTAAGAAATGTAAGAAAATTGGCTTGGAGAGAGAAATTAGCAGTTAAGGAAAAATCTCATTTCAATAACATAAAATAATTTATTGGGAATCACATTAGGTTTTTTTTTTTGTTGTTGTTGCTGTTGTTGCTCTGATAGCCCTGATAAAAACAATTTAAGGAAGGCTTTGTTTTGGCTCACAGCTTAAGGCATAAGGGATCCTGGTGGAGAGGTCAAAGTAGTAGCAGCTTGAGGTAGCTTGTCACATCGCACCACAGTAAGAAAGCAAGAGGAACGATTCTGTCCAGCGAGCTTATTTTCTTCCTTCCTTCCTTCCTTCCTTCCTTCCTTCCTTCCTTTCTTTCTTTCTTTTTTTTTTTTTTTTTACAGTCCAAGACTCAAGCCCACAGAATGGAACTACCCCCTTTAGGGTGGTTCTTCCACCTTAGTTAGATCAATCAAGATAATCTCTCATAGGCATGCCTAGAGATTTACTGTCTAGATGATTATAGATCTATTCAAGTTGATAAACAGTATTAAGCCTCACAGGAATGACTTTAATTAGGAGATAAAAAAGCTCTTTATGTTGAAAACTATACGGCGTTAGTGAAGAAAATGAAAAAGATACTAATAAAAAGAGCTTTCTCATATTAATGGGTTGGAAGAATTCATTCTATTTAGGTACCCAATACCCCCAAAGAAATCCAATGTTTTATGCAATTCCTATCAAAATTGCAATGGCATTGCCCACAAAATGTAAGGTGTGTTACTTCTGTGCCTGATTTGCTCAGGACTTTTATCATGAAGGCTTGCTGAATTTTTTCTCATTATCTACTTAGTTGATCACATTATTTCTGTCATTAAGTCTATTTTTGTGCAATTATGCTTTCAACAAGAAATGTTCCTCATAGGCTTGAGTATTTTTTATTTTTAACTTCTTTTATTTTTTAAAAGAAAGCAAACTATCCTATTTTTCATTTTACATACCATTCCCTGTTCCTACTCCCTCCCCTTCTCCCATTCCCTCCATCTACCCCCCATCTACCTCCATCCACTCCTCAGAGAAGGGGAATTGAACTCAGGACCTCTGGAAAAGCAGTCAGTCCTGTTAACCTTTGAGCCATCTCATCAGCACCTCTCCCCCTTTTGTCTAAATAAGGGGGTTTTAAGCCTAAAACAAAACAATATATAATAAGAACAAATATCACATATTGTCCAGGAAAAATAAAAAGCAAAAACATACACAAAAACAGAACTACAACCAACATGAAAAGCATCAAACAAGAAATCCATACTAAATGTCTTAAGCAGAGGTCAATTGCTGTCCTATCCTGAGGAGTCTAAGTCTTATACTAAAATATCTTAGTTATGTTTTGGGAGAAAAGATAGCTGCTGAGTACCAGAAATTAGTGTAATTAAGGAGGTCCTCAAGAGCCAAAAATAAAGGATAACAAGTATTTCTTTATTTGTAGAAAAACTCAAATTGAGGTTAAAGGACTGCGATCTTTTGTGGGAGATGGAAATTGTGAACCAAGTTCCAACAACCAACCAAGAGAAAAGGGGGCAAACACACTTCCTGTCTGTGCTTATAGTACCTCAAACCACACCCTAATGGGCTGGTATCCAAAAAGTTATCGGCTGAATGAATTCCTACGACACCGATACTAGATAGCCCAGAGACCTAGGATAAAACACACATAACTGATCTAAACAAGTCAATAAAATGATTTCTAATAATATTTTGCTCTACTCATAGATTGGTACCATCAGAGAGGATTCCTCCTTCAGTAGATGGGAACAGATATAGAGACCCACAGCTGGTGAACAGATGGGTGTGGCTCTTGGTGTATTTATTGATGGATATGACTGCTTCAAGTTAGTTGACGGGATTATTTCTGAGTCTGCTATAGGACTGAGGTTAAAATTCATAGGTCAGTTTAACTGCCATGAGACCTCTGAAGAGAGTATTACTTCTTTCAGACAAAACCTGAGAGGGGATCAAGCCACATCATTAGGTCCACAGATGTATTAACAAAAGTGCACATGAGCCCTCCCCCTTCTCTGCTAGATGGTTCTGGAGATAGCACCAAATCTGAGGAGGCTACAACTTGACTTATAGTGAGATAGGCTGTTGCTGGGTCTATTGTCTATACTGTGACCTTAGGGGTGGGCCTGACTTGTTAAAACAGCCCTTGGGCTCTACCAGGCTTTCTAATACTTATGGGGGAATCAAAGTTCTTTAAATCACATACTTTCTTTAGGTGCTTGCCAAATTCTTGTTGCTATTCTGCCATCTTGCTGATGTCCCTCTCAATCTTTTTAATTTATGCTATTTTAATCTAGGGTAATACTAATTTTCCATAAAATGGAAGATACCAACTGTCTTACTTATTGTCCTATTGCTGTGAAAAAACACCATGACCACACCAACTCTTAAGAAAGCATTTAATTAGGGCTTGCATATAGTTACAGAGGTCTAGTCTATTATTATCATGGTAGGGAGAATGGCAGCACACAGGCAGACTGTTTTAGACAATGCTGAAGAGAGTTCTAGATTTAGATCTACAGGCAGCAAGAAGAGAAAGCCACTGGGCCTGACGTGGGCTGTTTTGAAAACCTCGAAACCCACCCACAGTGACACTCTTCCACACTCTTCCTCCAGTAAAGCCATAACTCTGAACCCTTATCAAATAGTGCCAGTCCCTGGTAAGTATGTGTAGAAACCTATGAGCCTGTGGAGGGCATTCTTATTCACACCTCCATACTGACTATCTTCTAAAAATTGGTTTTCTAGGAGTATTATTTCCCTAATAGTGAATTTTTGGCTGTGAGTGTTTATCAACCATAAATCTATACAGAGGAGAATTTTCTAAGTGAAGAGTTGATCTTTATTCTGGGTTTTGTGTTTTACTTTAGATCATTATGTCTAAAAGTTTAATAATTTTTGACCTGATCTCAAACAAGGCATATCCTTTTAGTTACAACATTCTGTACTTTTACTACAAATAGAAAAGATATAAGATGTTTCCAGGAAAAAAAATAAGAGTTTCCATCAAGTTGCATTGCTATTTAAAACATATTTATATTGGCACTATGATTGTATCCCCAATAGAAAATTTGAGGCATATTTTATCTTATGATTGTGGAGTTTCTACCACTTTTTTCTTAAATTTGAATTTTAAAGGGCATTTCCCATTTTGTGCATGAAAAAAGAAACTCATGGTCTTTTTTTTTTTTAAACAAAAGACCTCTTATGTTCTATTCTTAACAATGTGATAATAATATGCTGCTTATTGTTTCGGAAAAGCATTGCACAGTACTATTGCAAATTTGGTTCTTTAAACATGATGAGTTCTATAGGTGATTCAGAAAATTTCTGTGGAATCACAATTTTAATTCCACTCCAGATCCCACCCACTCTGATCTTAAGCAAATTCTGTCAGTCAGTTAAGAGAGTCCCTGGTCACAGTGACCACACATTCAGTACAGATTTTTAGTTGAAAAGGGGTGAATGCTGCGTGTCTTGTATATATATATATATATATATATATATATATATATATATATATATATATCCTCCAATTGTCGTAAGCTTTGCAGAGATTCTGACTTGTCCATGTGACTGTTATGAGTTAAGAGAGTTTTGCTTTGAGAATATCTTCAGGTATTTACAGATGATAATTCCCCCAGCTAACACTCAGTAAGTAGCACCTGGAGAACATAGACTTTGAAAAAATTTGAAAGTCAGAACTGAGAACTGATGGTTGGGTAGTCTAGGGAATATGATTTCCTGAAGGAATTTTAGAGCATGAAGTAAAAGTTTAAAACATATTTACAGCATAATTATTGGAATTCTTTTCATCTAACAATTTCTGTAATTTATTATCATGAAGATTTGTTTAAACCTAGAGGTTTACCAAAGTTCTCAGCAACAGAGATTTTATAAAGTTTATAGGTTTGTAGAACTATCTCCTTAGGATATGGAAAAGTCCCCTCCTACCTGGGAAGGTCAGTCTTTGCCTCTAGCGGCTAGTCTCATCCCCTATCCAGTGACATGCTGACACATTTTAAACAAGTAAGTCACCAAAATGAGTAAATGAAATATAAACTTCATTTTATAGTATTCACTGATTTCCATATGAATATATCTTTTGTTGCCCATTTAGAGGTCACAAAAACTTAGCTTGCTTTATTTCAGAACTTTGGAACATTGGGTACTTAGTTGCTGTGAGCTAGTGCAATGGTTTGAATGATGCTCTTCCTCCCAAGACTTGTGTTGATGTTTAATAATGCAGGAATATTGGGAAGGGATGGACAGTGGTGCTATTGGACCATGGGAAGGTGGGTGAGGTGCTTGCAGACCTTCATCTTGGACAGTGGATGATTTCCTGTATTGCCATCTTTCAATGCTTTTTTGTTGTTGTTTTTCTAATTTGGGATGGGTTGCCCGCTTTCTTCCTTTCTTTTTGGTGCTATCTTGGTAAAAAGGTGAATCTTTATTTTTTTTTAA